TATTAGAATACACTGCAAATAAATGAAAAATGTAAATATTTTTTAAAACTGTGAAATTACCAAAAGTAAGTAGAAATGAATAGTTAGATAATTTGGGAATGGGAAAGGCCTTTCTAAGCAAGCAGATACCATAAAAAAAAATTTTTGACAGATTTAACCACATTAAAATGTTAAAAATCTGTTTAAAAAGAAAAACATACCAAAACCAAAATCAGAATGTAAATTTTAAAACAGAGAAATTATTTACAATGGAATTTGACAAAGGTGTAACAATTGAAGCTACAGAGCTCTCATAACTCAGTTTTTTAAAATCTCCAATATTATAATAGACAAAAGTAACATAATTCACAAAATAAATATAAATATTTGTTACTGATAATCCATAGAAATAACAATTACAGAAGATAACCCTACTGTCGAATGAGAATTAATTGTCCGTTCTGACTGCGGAGAAGGTGCGGACACTCTCAAGCACAACTAACACACATGAATTTATTCCATCTTTCTGAAAGGCCATCTATTCGTACCTATTAAAATCACTAAATGATGCATACTGTATGACTTCAGGGCTAACCTAAGGAAAGAAGGACATGGGCAGTACTTAACCTATCAAGAAGCTAACTGCTATTCATTCAAAATTATTGAAAAGAGCTTAAATTTTCAAAAATCAATTAGGTGGTTAAATAAACTTTGGTAAATCTATATACAAGAATATAAGATGCATACTTTAAATGATGTTTTGTTGTAAAGAATAATATTGTACTGACTTGGGTAAGCATTCATATTGGTGAAAATAAGTGAAATATTAAGTGAAAGCTAGCGACAAAATTTCATGGTCCAAAATTTTTTAATGACAAGAAATAGAATGGTTTCTTTGTGTTTAAGAATATGTAAACACCCACTTTAAAAGACCTATACAGATAGATATTCACCAAAATATTAATAATATGTATCTCTGGGTGAAGATATTAAAAATGCTATTTATTATCTATATAGTCCTGAATTTCCCAATTTCCTACAATAGCTATGTACTACACTAGTAATTAAGAAAATACACAATGTTTACAATGTTGTTGTGACTATAGTAATAACAGTATCCAAAATTATGTTAATACTGATATTCCTATTTTTTCAGGCTACATCAAAATTAGGGTTACCTTTCCTGTCTAGGTGAACTCATACTTTGATTTTTTTTATCACAATGAAGAAATTTTCAGAGCTATAAAAGACATTCAGACAAAACATTTCATCCCACCTTTTATGATCAAGTAAAATGTCAAATAATATTCAGATATTAGCTCTCCTTTCATCCCCCGCCCTCAACAAAGGTAAGACTCAAGGATGAGGAACAATCTCTGGCTCTCTACATTCAAATCCTGACCAGAAATTTTTAAAATAAAATAAAAGTGTAGGGGCAGAAAACATAGGTATTACCTTTCTCGGGATAAAAAGTAGTGTGCCTTTAACAACTTCTAATCACAACTCTTCTCTGTCTCCTTTTGGAGAGGAATGATTTTCCTCTCCCAATAATTTATAAGGTAATATCTAAAGGACAAGTAAGCAAGATTTCGTCTTGGGCAAATGCTTTAAACAGGAGATTTTCAAGTGTTAAACGTTCTGTTTCCCCAGTACAGCCTAACTAGGAGAGGGCCAAAAAGACTGGCAGTACTTGGCTCTTGACAATAAGCAATAGACAAACTGCTAATTCCATCTGCCCCCCTCCAAATAATGACAAAGCATTGCATGGTGGTGCTAGGGGTCTCAGGCTCCAGACAAGGGGTTTTTCTGAGGGGCATTCATTTTCACAGTACTGAGATTTTCTCTAAGTTCTCTGAATATATAAGAGGTACTCCAGAGAAACAATCTTGATACTACATGACAACATTGCTAATAACAAAGAAATATATTATCTTTCACATCATATTCTGTTAGAGATATTGCTTTCAAAATTCTTTTTTCTCACTGATCAAAATTCTGAATTCCTTCCATTTCTAGTCAAATAATTATTTCATCTTTCCTGAATTGCCTACCTCCTTGTCTTTACTCTCACCTTCCCTATGAATGTAAACAAACATAATATTTCTTCAAATATTCTTCTGCATTGGTTTTCAACAATTTCTGTACACTGAAATAATTTAGGGAACTGTGAAAAAACAAAACAAAAACAAAAAGCAGTACAAGTAATCTACACTGATAAAAAGTAGATGAGTGATCAGTGGTTTCCTGGGGATGAGAGGGAAAGATGACAAAGGGAGACAAGAAAACTTTAAGAGGTGTGGATATGTGCATTATTTTAATTGTACTTATGGTTTTTCATTGTAAACATGTCAGATGTTAAATTACACACTTTAAAAATGTGTAGTTTAGTATATGCTGATTATATTTTGAAAAACTGTGTAAATAAATAACCAATGTTTGGGCCCTAACCCACTGCCATTGGAATAAGGGTGAGGCTCCTTCTGGAAATCAAAATTCTTAAAAGCTCTCCAGAAGATTGTAAACGTGTAACCCAGATTGAGAGGCACTTCTCTACAGCTATCATTTTCTCTGTTCTTTACGTAGAGTTAGTTTTCTTGAAAAGCCTCAGTCATAGGCAACTAATTTATTAACTACCCTTACTTGCCCAATCATCTGAAGATTGTTTCTGAACCACCAGCCACCTAAAGCTGTACTTGTTAAAGTCAGTTAGGGACTACTAATAAAGTCACTGGTTACTGGGGTCCTCCTGACACATCTTTACAGCATTCAAGATTATTTATCCATTCCTCCTCCTTTTGAAAGTCTCTCTACCCTTAGCATCTTTCCTGATGTTTCTCCTACCTTTCTCTCTAATGACCACTCTTTCAGACTATTCTACCTATTTCTGCTATTGATCAGTTCTCTGGCTGCTGCTTTAATCATGCTAATGGACTTCCTTGTGGTAGTTCTACAAAACCAAATTGATACATCTTTAATTCAACCCCAAGCTTCTCTCTAATCCTGATTTCCTTTATAAGTTCCACATCCATAGATCCAAATACCTATCTACATCTTCAGCTGAATGTTCCACCACTTCCTCAAATTCAAAAATAGAATTTATCATCTTCTGTCACTCTATGTATTCCTCACTTCCAATTAGTGGTACCAAATCAAATCCTCAGAGTCTTGCTTGTTCCTCCTTTCTTACCATATAGACAATCTGGACCCACTGGATTCTATCTTATCTTAGTCAAAATCTAAAATACATACCCAATAAATGCCTTTTCATTCATCACCTTCAATCCAATCCCTTTAGCTAAGGATAGAATGCTGTGATCTGATCCTCTACCACCCTCAGAATTCTCATCTTCCACCATTTTCCTACTAACCCTGCATCAATCCATGTAAGTGTCAATGTTGTTGACTTATCAACTGTCAACATAGGCTAGTCATTGTCAGTGACTTCCCCAACTTCCACAGTTTCTCATCCTCCTTGCTTTCTCAGTTATTACATCCTCCTTCTAGAAAGCGCTTCATTAACCCTTGCACTTCAAAATCCTGTTACGTGCTCCCAATTCCAGCTATATTCAAGGTAAGTTGACCATTTTCTATTCTACGTTTCCTTACTACACTAGGCATATCTCTGCACTTATTACACGGTATTATAAATGTTGCTTTACTATAATGTTACTAATACATCATACATTACACAATAAATTTGAGGGCAAGAGTTACGACATTCATTTCTAAATCCCTAGTACCTACTAAGCCTAGGGCAATGCAATGTCAATTTGTTTGACATAATTTCAATTATTTACAAAGCAAACTTGATACTTCAAAAAAGTTCTTGAATAGTAAGACTTTAAAGATTTCTTAGGATTCATTATTTATATATATAAATTCATTATTTATATAGAAATTCACTATAAACAAACCTCCCAGGATTATCACATTGACACAAAGTTAAACTAATCCTTATGACTTTATGCAGCTAAGATTTTACAAATTGAAAATCTCAAACTGTAAAGTGTTACATGAACAAAAAAAAATGTGGCATACCTGCTCCAAAAACTACTGTGAAGCCCAAAGGACAAATGATTTGCACAAAGACAGGTGGACCCTACTGCCTGTAGTATTTAGTCTCAAGATAAGGAGTAGCTAGCTGCCAGTGGAACAAACTCCCCCTACCTGAAGAGCCCGGCAGCGGCCAGGCGTGCGATATTGTATTTCTCAGAGAACCGAGTCTGTGCAGTATTAAAACCACTAGGGCAAAATTAAAATCTTTCAGGAATGCCTAAACTCTGAGGGTACAAAGCACACGTGCACCCTGAAGGGCGGATACCCAGTTTTGCTGAAGCATGGAAACTTGGGCTCTTTAATGCAACAATTTTCAACTAAAAGCCCTAACGATTCTGGGGTAGGGTAAAATCAGCCTCGGAAGAGTAACTCGTGCAATGAAGGAGGCAAGGGCTGCAGAGATCTTCAGCGTAGTAAATAACCAAGAAATTGCAGCTGCTCTCTAACCCTGTCTGCCCCGCGCGGGACCAAAGAAGGAGGCAAAGGGTGTTTTCAAAAAGGAGCGGGGTCGACAGGGACCATCTTGGCCAGCAGACTGGACGGATGGCGGAGGTCTCCCCAGCGTGCAGACAGAGGGCAGGAGGTAGCGGCACCAGACCGGGGGCGGTGTGGGGATTCCCACCTGGAGCCAACTCCGCAGAGGGGCCGAGGCTGCAGCACCCGGTCACGCCCGGGGCTGGACCGCTGCTCGCCGAGAAGGAGGGAGACTGGGTCCGCGCCCTCACGGCTGCCGCCTTCCAGGCAGCGGGAGGGCTGAGCCCAACTTCGGGGTGAGCAGGCGCCGGCCGCAGCCCACCCGCGGAGCCTCGCGCAGGAGCCGTTACCCCCAACCAAGCCGCAGCCCCGGGCGCAAAGTCCCATCCCCTCCCCGCAGCCGCCTCCTCGCCCAGGCTCCTCCCTGACAAAAAAGTTCTCGATCTCCGGCCGCCCTGGGGGCCCCGCGCGAGTCGCTCCCCCGGACTCACCAGAGCGGCTATGGAAGCTCCACTGCAGAACCTCGAACTGCGCGGCTTGCAGCCACCACGAAGGCGGCGGCTGTGCTTTCTCCAGAGTAGCAGCACCACCTGCCCCCCTTCTTCCTAGCAGAACGGGTCCCGGAGAGCCATCTTCCCGCTCCTCTCACTGACAGACAACCCACACCCGAGAGCCGCCACTGCCCCCATCCACTCTGACAGGCACGAAGAGAGACCCGTCTGCAGGCAGCCAACCACGACCGCCCCACGACAGTTCAGCCTATCGCCGCCCTCCGGGGTGGGACTAAAACAACTTCTTCACCAATAACAATCTTCTGCTGCGGGACTTGGGGCGGAGCCATGAAAGGGGAGGGAGGGTAGATTTGAGTGGGCTAGGTCTAAGAAATGGGCGTGGTCGGGCTCCCGGAGGAAATGATTGACTCTAGGGTTCGCGGTGGCAGCTAAAGAAAGGGATCAGTAAAGATCTCTTAAACTCTGAGCCCTTAGGGCTTATGGCCTTCTCAGAGGAAAATAAGCTCCACCCAATGATGTTAACTGTGGTAAGATAAGAGAAAAAAATTGATATTTTAATTATTGGGCAGGAGGATTTACTTCCCAGCAGCTAATTCAAATGACAAGCATTTATCCAAATCTTTCAGATCCCCTGAAAAGGAGTACGTCTTTTGCAAAATGATAATAAAAATCCTTTCTTACTTAATCATTGCTTTTGGCCTTAGCCTAGAAAAATTCTAATATATTTTCCCGATTTTCTTTTCATGGGCTGTTTTTATTTTCTCCAACATGTGGCCAACACAATCCGATTTCTGTTAAAGGGTGAGAAGTCTAAGCAATGTGAGTGTCTACTTTCTTTGAGGGGAATCTGGAAAGATCAGGCCGGGTTACTGTTGGAGGATTGACATGATAATTTAGGTCCCTGGGGCCAGAGCCTGGTCAGTGGGAGTGTTTACCCAAAGGAATAGAGACAGGAAGCCCCAGACAGTATCTTGTACCCTGACATCCTAGAAAAATCTAAGAAGTTAAATTTTGCCATCAAGATCTGGGGAGTCGAGAGGGGCACAGTGGAGCACAACTGCAATCCCAGCACTCAGGAGGCTGAAGCAGGAGGATCTCCATGAGTCTGAGGCCAGCCTGGGCTACATAGTGAATTCAGGGCCAGCCTGAACTACAAAGGGAGACCCTGCCTCAAAAAAACGGGGGAACAAAAAAGATCTGGGGATTGGAGGGGGTAAGAGGGTAAAGAGGGAAGGACAGCCAAACGTTCAAATAGATCACAAACAGGAGAAAGTGAAGGAGTACACACACACAATCAGTTTCACTGTCTTTTGGCCATGTGGACCACTGATATGTTGGGATGAATTAAAGAGCCAAGGTGTCTGGAGGCAGGAAAGCCAATCAGGATCAGAGCAAGATTCCAGAAGAAGAACACCTGAACCACACCTGTGAAAGCTGAGATGGAAGGTCAGAGGAAATATTGGCTTCCTACTCTGTGCAAGACACCTGGTTTGTCAAGGATACAAATAAATGCTAGAAGCTGAGAGCATAAACAGCAAGATAAAAAACAGGTAAAGAGTTAAGCAAAGATTAATCATTTAATGCAACAATAGAAGAGATGACACTAAGAAGCCCACAATTCATTGTTCAGATGACTTGCTAGTGGAACAAGCAATCCCTCGAGTCAGGGGGAGTCAGGGAAGGATTCATGAAAGAAGTTTAAACTGAGCTGAGTCTTGAAAACTGAGGAGGAATTAAATCAGAAAAAAATGTGAGGAGGAAACTCCTCGAATGCTTGGAGAAAAACACCAAATGGGAAGCACAAGCAACGTTCAGAGGACATAGGAAGCAATTTGGGCCACCCAGAACCTGACAAGCTTGGTTGTGCAAAGATAATAGAGTGCCTTGAATACAGGCACAAAAGTTCAGGAGAAATGTATTCTCTCCTTTTGCCTTGTGGCTTTTTGTCTGCTCATTAAAATCACTTAGGATGCTTTCAAAAATATTAATGCCCAAACCATACCCCATACCAAGTAAATCAGAAATTGGAAGATGGGGCTTAAATATAGGAATATTTTAAAAGCTTCCCAACTGGTTCTAATATACACGCAGGGTTCAGATCAAGGGGAATGTTATGGCTTGTGTTTAGTTGTCCGCCAAAGCCTCATGTGGTCATAAGTGGTGCTTTTTCAGAGATGGCTAGATCTAGAATGTGTGATCCTAAAATTGATTTATGATATAATGTTGGGCTCAAGGGCACTGGGATTAAGGATGTGAGTGCTAACTACCCTAAGTAGTCTAGATAAGACAAAAGAGATAGAAGGACACTGTTAAAGGCCCTTGTTGCTCTGCTATCTTCTGTTCACCATGAACTGTTGCCTCTCTGCTATACACCACCCTGCCCTGGAGCCTGCCAATTATGGACTAAAACTTCTACAAACTGTGAACTAAATAAACCTTTCCTCCTTTAACTTTTGGTGCCAGGTATTTTGTCTCAACAAGGAGAAAAATAATTAAGACAGGGGATGACACTGTAATATTTTACTAATGCTAAATTGTTTATGTAAAATGGATTGAGGTGAGAGAAACTGAAATCTGCCCATGTATGTACAATTTGTTTTCTTTCTGCAAGAAGACAGGAAGCAGTTTACTGCCCAACTTCACTTCCCGTTTTATACTGGCGAGATAAAATACAAGTCAATCTAAGTTAAATCTTCCACTAAGTCAGAGTAAGACCAAAGTACAAATTAATGTTAGCAATTCACTCTCCAACACAATTTGTGCATATAAAAATAATTTCCAACAATAACAATCTGCGGCTAACTGTTACACATAATCACTTATATTTTAGTGGCAAAACACAAGAAAAATGCCTAAGGGAACATTCTGTTTCAAAAGAGAAATGCTTTTAACCTACTTTTTTTTTTTGGTGGTGGTTTCTAACCATTTATTTATGACAAATGTTCCACATCTACAACTGTCTCCACTCAGAAGTTCTTTGAGACAAAGCCATCAGCCTTAGCCGATGATAGAATAGAGTCATCTGATTCATCCATTTGCAAATGGCCCCACAGATAGTGTAGGTTTTAAACTGGCCATTACAGCTGTCCATGACCTTGTCAACTTCTGCCAGGTTCACTGGATGGATGCTTGGTCTTTGGTACCAATAATGTGGTTGCTGGCAGAGCATTTCTGAGGCACATACAGATCCACAAACTCGCCAGCGTCTTCTGCATATTGAGACCCCACCTGCTGCCTCCACAACTAGCATGAAAAGAGAAAGGCTTAACCTACTTTTTAAAAAGCAGCATATTCTAGACTTATCCTATCCTTCTTTGCTGTATCTGTGAGCACAATTCCACATTAAATATTAAAATGCATTTACCTTCTTAAAAATAAGTTTATAAAAAGGCCATGCAAGGGCCAGGGATTTAGCTAAGTGGCACTGCACCTGCCTCGAGAGCACAAGGTGCTGAGTTCGATCCCTGGTACCACAAAAAAAAAAAAAAAAAAAAAGGCCATGCGAACATTATAAAGCGTGAATATTTTCCCTGTGATTTAATTTTAGAAACGTTAAGGAAAAAAATAGCTCAAATAAATTTCTATTAAAGTCAGCTGGAAAACAACTAAGTAATATGACTATTTAAAATGTAACACAAGAATTTTGTCTTAAAAAAACAACATGAAATGTGTTTAAATGTTACTTTAGTGGCCAGGGATTCATCTGCCTCGCAAGTGCAAGGTTCTGAGTTCAATCTCTGGTACCAAAAAAAAAAAAATGTTACTTTAGTGATATGTTAGTTATTAAAAGGAAAATATATGTGCCTGAGAGGTCACTGAAGGGTTTGTTGTGTCAAATGCCTTTTCTAAGGGAACCTGTCCAGAGCCTCCCTCTGAGGTAGCAAGCAGCCTAAACCATGATCTATGCCATGCAACTCCCTTTGCAGAGCCATATAACCTGAAGAGGCAAACTTTAAAAATGACCAAATGTGAACACTCTACCCAAACTGAAATAACCAGTCACTACCTCACTATCTACACTACATGTATCCTCTCTCTCTCTTATTAATTTTATTGGTACATTTTAGATATATAGTGATAACGTTCATCATAGGAAATTTGTACCTGTACATGACATATCTTGCTGCTTCTGCTTTTCTCATTCCCCTCCCCTCCCTTCAACCTTTCTTCCCCTCCTTATTTACAAAAGCTTTATTTCCATTTTTTCTTTCTAGTCTTTTTTTTTCTTGTCCCTTCCTTCCTTTCCCCCTCCCCCCTCATTTGTTCCCCTTCCCATTTAAACATTTTCTTCTTTTGCAACAAAGTCTCGCTACCTAGTTTAAACTGGTCTTGAACTCACTGTGTAGCCCAGGCTAGCCTCAAAGTCTCAGCCATCCTCCTGCCCCAGCCTCAAGAGTGCTGGGATTACAGATGTGTGCCACCACACCCGGCTTGCTCATTCTCTGTTAAGAATTGAACTGGAAATAGAAAGAGAAAATCATTCCCATGGTGGAAGCAGAAGTTAAAAAGTCAGGAAATAGAAGATTGGAGAAGCCATAAGCAGGACAAGTTATGAGCCATCTGAGGCCATTGGGTAGAGAAGAGACCTCTACAGTAGAGGGTGAAGCGACTGATAACAAAAGCACAGTAGAAGCAGAGACAGAGTAGGACGAGTCACTATCATAAAGACTGGCAGTGAAGACCTGTTGCTGAACAGGGAACAATGAGACCACCCATTTCCTGCTGCTGCCTTAGATACCTCCAACCCCCAGTGTTTACGTCCCACATCTGTGACGTCCAGCTGTGGTTGTTTCCACTTCGTTGCCTGTGGTATTGCAAGGGAATGGTCATATCTTCCACCTCTGTGTAAACTAATAAATAGATCTCTGGGATTATGGGCCATGCCATGATGATACATATTGTGGTTTTCATTCATGTTCCTGGATCATAACACCCCTAGCCCTTGTTATCTTCTAAATAACTGGAACACAGGAAGAGAAACCACCAGCAGAGTGAAAAGACAACATAAAATATGGGAAAAAATTTTACCAGCTGTTCCTCAGACAAAGGTCTACTATCTAGAATCTATAAAGAACTTAAAAAAAATCAGACCCCCC